ATGCCAACCTACATATTTATGAATATGTCTATTTTGCCATTATCAACCGTTCATAATAAATTATTCATCAATTATTCTTCCATTGTATTGCATGACTTAGACTTCAGTCATGCAATACAATAAATCTGTAATTAAGTAGTATGTGTATCCTACTAGAAGGGATAATCCTAGTAGTATACAAAATAAATATTCAACGTAATTAATTACAACTCGTTTTTGAGCAATAAAAAAGTATTTTTCAATAGAATAAAATTAACTAGATAAAAATTGAATTACTCACAAGTAAAAATTTTATATGTATTTTTACGAAATTCATAAATGTAATATTTAATGTTCGAATGTTATGCTATCATAATTCCCCATACCTGTTTAATAATCTGTCTGCATACATAACGATATTGAAAAAAAAAATATCAAGATATTTTTATTTTTTTTAACAGATATGATAGTACTACATAATATATTTTTTGCGTTTCTATTGAGCGCGGTGGAATGTCGACCGTCGGATACTGGAGATGTTGTTTCCAGATATAGTGGTCCTACTAATCTCAAAGAATACTTAACGGCATTAGGTCAATCGAGGAGCAACACAAACAATGAAAGTTCTGAGGACATCATAGACGGACCAGAAGAGACCGAGCTTCCAAATAAAACAAAAGAAAGAGATTTTTCGGTTCCATATCTCAGATCGTACCATCAAGGTAATAGGCTTTCACACGGCAAAAGAGATACGATTTCTTCTTGGGAGGCAAAAGAGTTGAAGAAGGAACGTCCTGTATGCCCCACTTTAATGATCGGATGTGACCATGAAGACGGTGACGTTAAATGTACTAAAAATCTCCAAGGAAAAAATGAATGCGATGGTGACGACAATGATTCAAAAGATAAATCTGGCGGTACCCAAAATAAAGATCTTAGTGTTCCACGCGTCAAGAGAGAAATAGAAAGAAATAGCAATAATCCTGTATATTATGTATACCCCTCTAAGACGATCGAATGTGAGAAGAACGACATTGAATGTGTTCAAAATTTCAAAGACAACGAAGACTGCGATGATGACGAGGATCGTTATATAATAGGTACGTTTGTGAAAAAGAAAACAGTACCAAAGCATACTAATCAAGCTCCAGATATTAAACCTACAAATAAATGGCCTAAGAAACCTGATGTTCAAGTTCGACCTACTACACCCAGAAATAAATGGATTAAAAAGCCTATTACTCCTAAAAAAAAATGGAATATAAAATTTAATATTAAAGCCCCAGCTATTGCACTTAGAAATAAATGGCTAAAATGGACTAAAAGACCTTATAAAGCTCAAACCACTACAGCTAAAACCAAATTGACTACAAAAAAAAGGAAATCTCCAAAGAAACCCGAGTCCGATTATGATGATTATTTTTTTCCAGAGATGCCAGAGATTGATCTGGATAAGGAACTAAAAAGGAAACTAAAAAAGGTAGAAGATTACATATACGATTAAAACTTTTGTTGTTATAATTTATTTTTTACTTTCTGAATATTATTTATGTATATTTTAGCGAATATTAACGACCTAATATAATAAAACTTAACTTGAGTTTTTAAATGCAATACACTGCTGTCATTAAAAAAATTAAATGTATTTATTTCTTTAGAAAATCTTGTAAATGCTCTATTTGTATTATCATTTTTATTGATAACTAAATCGTCTTTTCCAACAAAAAAAAAAATATAAATTTGTTACGGAACAAATAACTTGAGTCTACAAAAACAAAAACTGTTTTTTTTACATGTGTAAAATGATTGTACAATTTTGTAAAACATATTTAATTTTAACAACGTTTTTTTTTTAGTGCAATATTAATTTTGATGTTTGTTATTTTTTTGAGATTCAGAAGCTACCTACGATACTTCTAACTTTACATGTTTTTATTTATTTATTCATTATTTTTCTCCAAGTATTGTATTTCGATTAAAATGTTAATAAATAAATTTTAGATCATAATATGAACCATAATATATAACTATCATGAAAACTATTTAAAACAATATAATGATTTTGGTCAATAGCGTGTACAAAATACAAGGTGACCTATCGACCTTGATGACCTTACCCATACTAGATAATACACTAGTTTTCTCGAAAAATATGAATATTTTGAAATTTATTTATTCCCCTATACTTGTAGGTACATATTTTACTATATTTTTCAACAATTATAAAATGTATTTAAATGGAAACGTATATTTTTAATTCTATAAATATGTACACTTACAATTTTAAAAGTTCAAACCTTTTTTTTTACAATTTATTGTCTACATATTTATGAAAATAAAAACATGTGTTCTCATATGAAAAAACGAGGTCCATACTTTTTTACGTATAATGGATGAAACTAAACATTTTTAAATAATTGAAAAATATAGTAAAATATGTACGTACAAGTATAAGAAAAAATAATTTTCAAAATATTCATATTTTCTGAGTAAATGAGTGTCTTACATCAGATGGATCAACCTGTATACGTTTTACAAAATTTCATAGTAACGTAATTTAAACAACAATACTTTAACTAGAAAATAAATAAATACTTATAAAGAATTTGATTTTATAATGTTCACCATACATGTAATTTCCTTTTTTTCTTCTTATAAAAATTAATTAAATAACTAGCATACAATTCAATAAAATAGCATACTCAACTACCTAAACATAATAACCAAAGTTAAAATTCATCCTCAAAAACAATAAAGTCAAAATTAATAGCACGGCATTACCTGAGCATGTGGCTTAAGGCATGATTATAACTGTAAATCTGAGAGTCAAACGACTTGTGAAATGTAATAATAGTATTAACAGATGGGACACGCCAACGTATTTTCTCCAAAATTGCAGGAAAACTTATTTTATTATTAATTAGGTAAAAAATAAATAATATATCACTAGGTATACCTCCTTCTATCAGAAAAGGTATTCAAACTTAGCTTATGTGATATATCCCCCACAAAATTCTGTAGTCTAAGCTTTTAAGACAAACGCCTTAAAAAATACGACTAGATATAGTTTAAGCGATTTATTTGGCTGACTTGAGCTAGATTTCAAATTATGAATCCATACTTAAGACACGAGCGTATTAACGATGAATACAAAGTTATTAGACATATATCGTTAAATAAGTATTGACATATTGACAAACATTGTCACACACAATACAAATGGAGGAAAAATCTTTAAACAAAGCAATACCAATATGTGTCTGACTTAATATATTCAGTATTCAATTTGTTGCATCTGTGTAATATGATATACTTATATATTAGGTAGGTATTCAGTTTAGTTAAAATGATAATTTTTTCTCTTCATTTAAATTTTAATTAAATATGAATTACCTATATCAAGATTAATCAACCACTAAGCTCTCCATTGTCACCCAAAAAAATACAAATATCAATTCCTAGTTGGATACATTAATGGCTTTTTAGAGCATATTATCAATACACTGAAAATAATAATTATTTTTTACGCTTTCTTTTATTCTAATAATGATAAAATGTACTTAAACATTACTTAATCTTATATGATCGACTAACATTCTTTAACTTATGTGAAAAACCATGATTATTTTCAATTTTTTCGAGGAAGTCTTACCTTAACTTTTAATAACCAAGGGTTGTCGAGTACCTACATTGTTTATTTCTGTTTGGTTCCTACATAGGACTACAGTTAGACACACCTACTGAAATATATGTAAAACGAAATCAGTTTAGTCAGTTTAGTGGTTAACCTAATAATAATATAATATATAATATAAAATAATATATTATATTAAAATGAGACTTTCCACTTTTAGGTTCTTATAATTAATTAACGAAATATTGAACACTTACGCACAATAAGTAGGTACAGAAATAATAAGCGAGACCTTAACTGAACACCAATAAAATGATAATAATACTTATGTTTTTATATTGACACTAGAAATGATCGTAAGACAAATTGGGCAGATGATTCTGCAGATTCACTTGATGATGATGATATATTTAATATCCAGGCAAACAGAAGCAACGGAAATAAATCAAGAAATCCTTCCTATTTCTGGTTTAATAAAACCCGATTTATCTGATGAAATTTTAACCACACCAATGGTACCTACATCAACTCAAAAGCCTTCTACTACTCAAGTTCCAGCTACTACAACTACAATTGACTTCGATTCATTAACATACGATTATTATTTTTCACTTAATAATATTCTTCCTTTTGGGCATAAATTTGATTTTAACACAAAATATAGTTACACCATTTGTTGGTATAATATTTATAGAGACATTGTTGTTATAATATTTGTGTACACGCCACCACTCACGGATAACTGATAAGTGCATCCTCCCGTAATCCACATGCACTTTTTATTTCTTATTATGACATTTTTCAGCTCTACCAAAAACATTTTTTACGGGGTGGCAGCTCAACTAGTCCTTTCTTTCTCCCAACCTTTTCTTCGCGGCACCGCCTTATCAGCTGTATAATCCCTCGCACTCTTTGGTTGCGACCCTTTGGTTATATGACTTTAATCTTACACGAAAAGAAAATACTTTATTTACCCGTTTAAAATTTGTCATTATCTTCTCCCTACTTTCTCTTTATTTCTCGCCATAATGGTATTATTTATTAACAACCCCAACTTCAACGTCATTGATTTTCGGTCTGTGCCCATTATATCCTTCATCGATATATTTATCATTGGTGCTAGCTTCTCTATTTAAGTATAATATATCTGCATAATTATTATTTTAGTATAGTATTTAATTATTTTCTTACTGTCTTATTATAACTGTCGAGTCTGAATATCGTTAATTAAAGGCTAATAAAAAAAAAACCAATGCATTATTAATAAAATAAATCTTTTTTTTTTATTAACATTAGTCATAAAAATAAAAGTAGGTATTTGTCAAAAAATGAAAATATGTTATACAATTTAAAATATTTTCAACATTATATCATAAAAATAAACATATAGAAATTTGGGTGCCATTCAAATTAAGTAAAATCGTATATAACATCTTCTTGCAATAATTATATATATATATATATATATTTTAGAGCACTATTTGATCTATACAATTGGCTGCCAGAAATTCTTTTATTCAGTTATAAATATTTGTTACAATAGAAGGTTAACAATAACTTAAAGCGGCACATCATTAATCGTTACTAGTTATTTATTACTAGTATATCATTTCAAAAATAATAAAACTTATTAAATTACTAAATTTAATTATTGGCTTAAATTGCCTATGCGAATATAAATGCAAAATGAAATAAAAAGCAATCAAAACAATAATTAACTAGGTACTACAATATATTTGGCGTTATTAGTGACATATAAGATATTAATAATAAATAAACTTCAAAATTCTGCATTGAATGTAAAGGGGAAAACATTATTTTCCTTGCATACTCAATATTATTAACTTGTTGACATAAAATAATTGGGCAGATACCTACTATATTTTTATTATAGTCGAGTAAAAAAATTATGAAGCACCCATTATTAATCTAATAAATAAACCATAAATCATTTAAGTAAACTATAATTAAAATATACTAGTATTTTTTATGTATTTAGTAACATTAACTTAGTATTTTGTTGATACAGATAATTTGTACTAATCGGTTTATTAATAATGTCTATACAATTAATAACAACACCGAAGGAGGTCAAACAAATAACTATACATTTATATTACTCTGTTTCAAAACGCAACTAATGTTACAGGCAAACAATAATTATTTTTGTTCATCACTCAAAGGACACATTAAATCACCAATAAAAAATTCATTATTATTCTTCTTTCGCTTCAATGAAAACTGAGATTTTTTTTGTATCTAAAATAATAATCCAGTGTCAATAAATTATAACGGTCTTAAAAACATATTGTACATTAGACGTGTATTCAGTAATTACTTTAACTTTGGAAGACATTGTCAACGGCTTAAACTTTGACTGACATTGGGCATCTCTCTTTTTTGTGTTCAATTCTTTTCCTAACAGCTGACTGAATTGTATGTTCAAGTGTCGGCGTAGTAAAGTTTTATTTTGTTGAATGAATAATATGTCAGCCAGCAAATCTGAGGTGAATCTGTCGTCATGAACAATTAAACCTCCATGTACACCTAGGGGATACAATTAATCTGATAAACAATTGTTTACACTGCTCAATAAAATTTTAATCAAGAAAGTATGTATTTTCTGAGTTACAGTCAAATACAATAGACAATTACCAGAACCCCTTAAATTCGATGCGTATTCAGCCAAATTAACATAACACAGCCATTCCATTACTCTGTGTGTGGTCCACAAAGACAAATCAGAATCCTCTTCACTCTTGTTGGAATTAGAACGTCGAGTTAAGCATTCGGCATCAAAGTGATTATCTCTCAACACCTAAGTTCAATCAATATTTTATAATTTAATTATTTTAAAAACTGTAAAATTGTACTTGGCAAATTCATAGAAAACCTAAGAAGCTTACTTTGATTCCACAACGAAGACTTGAAAAATGTAATTCCGAATTAACATTTTGCATCATGAAAAAGTCATCTTTAGTTAATCTATGCAAGACTGCACCATTGATAGCTGCTTGAGAAAATGGTTCTTTATACTGAGGTAATCCAATATCATCCAACCAATGCAAAACCCATGCTGTATTCAAATATCTAGCTTTGGGTAAATATTTATCATCCAAAAAAATACTATCTTTGTTTCTTTCGCATTGGATTTCGATTATTAATTTTTTACGATGTAACCAGTGCTGCAAACACAAATTATACGATTATTATTAAATGATTTTAACTTTTGAAATAGTTTTGATGATAAAAATGTATAGAGGAAAAATATAGCTTACTTTGAAGTTGAATTTCTCATCAATTTTATTAATCGATGCACTAATCAAATCACTTCCCGACATAGGCCAAGACTTTGATTGCTTCACTAAATAATCAAGACCCAAACTTGTAAACCATTCAAACACATTTTTTTGATCCCACTGTTCAAACGGCAAAATTGAACTGTCACAGCAAAATATGAATTTTTATTTGTTATTATTATTTACAATTTTTATAAACGCTTCATTTGGTCTTTCATGGTTAAGAAAATTGTTTTTAAATGACCTGGAGTAACTATTGAAGCAAGACTCCATAATATAGACAACTAATTAGGGAGTGTTTGTTATTTAAAATTTTTCTATTTAAATGTTAACACTTACTTTTGGAGGAGTGAATTGTTAGTAGTAGAAAGGTGGCTGTGATTGTTGTTTTGTAAGACTCGTTCTTTTCGTCCTTTGATTTCTACATCGACTAGAAGAAATGATAAAATAATTAAGTTAACAATGTAATTATTGATCAATAAAAATAGCATAAAAAATGTCTTAAGTTAGATCACAAAGAGTAAGCGCACACCATTGAATCATTAATAAAAACCATTTTTAAAAAAACATCAAATACAATTAAAAATCTAAATTTAAAAAAAAATGTATTTATCTGTCTGTATAATAAGAAATAATCATAAATATTAATTAAAGGCAAGCAATTGATGTTGGAAATCCGAAATATGTAATAAGAATTATAATAATGACATTATAATTTATCGTTGGACAACCAACATCAGAGTGTTAAGTGATAATTTCATCATGTTTATTTTTATATCGCTTTAAAACTTACTTAAATTTGGAGCAGAAGAAAATTTGTCAAATTGTGATACATTGCCAAGTAAATTCGTACACGATTCAGTAATATCGTTTAAAGCTAAAATATTAGGTTGGTCATTATTATTTTTTGAATCATTTTTCTTTTTTGATAAAATATGCCGTGGTAAACTACTATAGAAACGTGGGCCATGACTTTTCGAACGTTGAAACTGAGAGTTCTGAAATAAAAATTAAACATAATTTATAAATTAAAACATTAAAGACGTGTTTTAATATTATATTTTTTGTTTTAGGTTGTTTGACTCCAACCTAATTAAACACAAGTATATACATCAGTTTTATTAAACGCCATACTTTAGTTTATGTTTTAAAAATATGAATTATGAAGTAGAAATGCTGGAAAAATAATTATTATTTTTAAGGTTAGATGAAATATGATAGCTGTAAATAACATAATATCTTTACATTGGTTTTCATTCAACTACTCCATATTAGTAAGTGTTTTCTTGATTTTGTCAAATTGTGATTCCTACTGTTCGTCTACATAACAGTGTTAGTCGTACCAACCAAAAGAGTGGACCACTGATTCTAACAGTATACCAATTTTAAAATTCAAACTTGATGTACTGTTTATTATTTTAGAATTAAATTTTAAGAGAATCATTAAAAATGTATACTAACTGTATTTAAATAATTCGTTGTATTTTGGTTTTGAACAAGCATTTGTTTTAAATTCATGTTTTCTTTTGTAAGTCTTACATTAGCTAATTTTAAATTAGTCAACAAAGCCATTGCTTCAAGTTTGTCAATTTCTAGTCTGGATTTTGCTTCTATTTCCTTCAAACAAATAAACAAATAATTTATTATACATTTTTTAAACGCTAACAAAGTAATTTAACGCCACACACATTATGAAGCCTATTTTCAGCTTGTTTTCTTAATTCGGTTTGTTGCGCTAGATATTTTTCAAGATGATTCAGTTTCCGCAAGAGTATATCAACTTGGTCGTTTAACATAGAAACTTGTAATTTAAAGGATTCCAAATGACTACAATCATCTTCATTTTTCTAAATTCATTTTGACAAAAGATTTAAATTAGTACAATATGTTGAGGCTTATTTTTTAATAATAAAAATGATTGAGTTCCATACTTGGTGTTCGAGCACATTATTCAACACAATTTGCAAGTCTGAGTTGCAAGAAAACTGGGAATTGGTATTAGGCTCTGAAAATAAAAATTATAAGTATATAAGTATGTTGCTAATAAAAATATACTAAAAAAACGACTCGCACACAGAGAACATCACATTTAACAGTTTTGAAGCAAGATAGGATTTCTATTATTATTATTTGTAAACTTAGAGACATAAATTGTATAACGTATGAATGATAATAAGTTTAACTATGTTTGGTAGAAAACAGATTTTCAAAAAGTGTTTCAAACAAGTACCTAGTGCACAATTGAGTAATAGGAAATTAGGCTTTTTTTTTAAGACACCATATTGTTTACTACCTAATTATTTTTTCCTGCCTAACTTATTATCTTTCAAACGTTTATTATATTATTGTTGTAATTTGACTCAAAAATGTACAATAATTGTTGCTGTGATAGTCCGACATATACACTAGAGTTTAAACTCTAATTTATATTAGGTATCACGAAAATTTGCCTATATTTTACTCTATATAAGAAAGTAGTATAATGACTTTTTAAAAATAATGCTAAAAAAATTGTATAAATCAATCAAATAATGGCTATTTTATACTTTACAATTGATAAAAAGCAGTTATAGCTATTATTTAACCAAGCATTGTAGACTTATAGCGAATTCGCCAGCATAGCAGAAACTTAAATAGTGTAAACTGAATAATTTGCCATCCCGGCGATCAACTAAGCCTAAACGAGTCCTACTTGATCTTCAGTCCGTACGAGTATTTTTTTATAGACTATAAAATTCTAAAAATCATATAAATAATTTGCATCTAAGCAAATGTAAAAACTGTACAAAATACACAATTATTTATTAAACATATTATCTAATCTAATTCCACAAAAATATTAAATAATAACAAAATACTACTTTTCTAATAAAACGACCATCTCAATGACTACTCATTATTAACTATTATATATACTATTATTTATATAGGTACCTAAAATTAAATTTTTTACTAAAAAAATTACACGTTATCTCAAATCTTACCATACAACAGAATTCTGTGTTATTCAGTCCAATTTCATGTGTTTATTAGGTAATCATTTCTATATTCATACAATACAAGCTTCCAATTATTCATAAATGTCAATTATCATATTATGATAATATTACAATATATTTTTAAAACATAGAAAGAGACATGAACGCCAAAAAATTAATTTATAACAAACTACCTAATCATACAAATCAGAATCATTGAGTGGAATAATTAACTTATTGTTTGAATTACAACTAAGTATTTAGTTTCTAAAAATATAAAAATTTACCTCTTGAATTGTTTAACATGTTATAATAAAACAAATTGCTTAATTAAAGACATACCTTGTAACCAGTATAATCAACTTAAAAAAATATACTTAATTGACTAATTATAATAAAATTTATCTCTAAATCTGTATAATAATATTTATTTTGTTATTATTTAAAAATTATACCTAATCATTGTAAAAGTTTTATTTGTATTTTTTTGGTTAGTCCCTTCCATATTAAATAAAATAGGTAATATTAAAACAAAAAAAATACCCAGTCTTAATCGCATATAAGTTATTTTTTTGAAGGTAAATATGGTTAAGGTTCATAGTTGAAAAAAAATCAATGTTAATGTTATACCAATTAATCTGATTATTAAAACATTTACAATAGGTAATAAAATAATTAACTGAAAACTCAGTGTGCTTGCCTGATAGTATAATGCCGTCCATTTTTTGCAAAGCGCCTTCTAACAGTTTGATTGCATCGTAATGCGTTTTGCTCAGCTCGATCCCTTCTTCATTCTTATTCATTTTAATTGTTTGTAAATTTCAATTAAAACACGTCTTTCGATTAATGTGTAAAAAAAAAAAAATGTACAAGTAATCTTTTAATGTTTTCTGTACAACTTCAACTGCAGATCAAATTAAACTTTATGATAAAAATCCAAAAATATATAAAATTTAACTAATATATTATTTATTATACGTAAATTGTTTGATTTCACTAATTTAAAAAGAAAATTATTAAAAAATTTTAAAAAATACTACCAAGCACCTAATATTATTAGTATTACAAAATAATAGTTATTGTTTTATCATTTTTTTTTATCAGTCAACAATAGCCTTATCAGAGAAAAATTCTGTGGCCTTATCTACATCAACACGCTAATCTATATTATGGTAAACAAAGAATTTACAATGAAAATCTAAACCTTTAGAAATGTTTAAAGACTACCAACTTGTAGTTTGATGAGACATGAACAGGGCTGGGTGGGGCATTAACGAGTAACGAGATTAATAATTGAAACTTAAAAATTACCTTATCGGTTATCCGAAAATAAAAGTGTTACTTTTAAGTTGCACGAACAGCTAACAAATTAAATTTAGAGGATGTTTTATCCTTTATTTATTAAGGAGTTAGGTATAGGACATTTTTTGCAAAATCTTAATTTAAGAGGACATCACACACCCGTTTTATTTAAGTTATACTCAAATCAGTTTTTATTATTGAAAATTGAAATTTATAAAAAAAAAACTACAAGTATGTAAATCAATATTTACAATATTATATTATAATGATAATTTACCAACAGTAAATTGCCTCTTAAGTTTGTAAAGAAAAAATGTTTTTCAAAACATAGGTACCGACACATTTTATAAAAAGTAAAACAGAATATTCATTAATACAATTTCAATGAAATTATAATTTTTCTTTAATTATTCAATACCGATGTATTATACTATTTATTTATACTAGGTATCTATTATCTATTTAAAACAATATATCGTGAATAGGTCCACCATATGAAACTATTCGATACCCAACAATAAAATTTAAAACATTTACTTAAATACTTTACAACTTCGAAACAATAATAAATTATAAAATGTTACCCTGAAATTTCAGGGTTCAAGATGGCAAAAAAATTATGGATCCGGATAAGGCGTTTTTAATGTCTCTGTTGCAAGACGTCAAACGAATGTCGTACAATGAATTATTATGTTTATATTTATATACGTTTGTTTAGGTACATTATATAAATTATATTAATATAATATATGTATATAATTAACATTAAATTATATATTATTAACAAATTAACCATTGTACTAACTACTAGACAATAATAAAAAAACAATTAAAAATATTCATGCTCAAAACAAATTTTTTGTGAAAGGGTTGTTATAATTATTATGGTTAACAAGGTTATCTATTTTTTCATAATTTTTAGTTAACTTTTTTTGTTAAGCATGTAAATTTGTTAAAAAATCTAAAATTGATGTAGTACATAATATGTACGTTGCAATTTAAATTTTAAAAGAAATGCTAAAGTATAAGATTTTAATGTAAAGCTAAAATGTTAAGCATTTTATTTCAAAAAAAAATAAAAAAATGTCTCAGTACAAATGGTTAGGTTTTAAGCCATCTCGGAGGTCTGGAGTTTAAATATAACACTTATATATGTATTCACTTACCTTTATCAAAATAATAATAAAAAAATTTGTTTATCTTATGTCAAATATAAAATTCATGGATAAGCAAATGAAAACTTCACCTTTTTTATACCAAAAACACTGTTTAATTCTTTGTTAAAAATAATAGTTCTCTTTTTTCTTTCTTATTGTGAATTACAAATATGTATATAACTTTTTAAAGTAGCACCTCGTAACAAAACTCATTAATTATTTTTAAATGTAATAGTTATTCATTATGTTAAAAATTTGTAATTTTATCATTTTTAAAATAAAATTAATACAACTAGATGCGTTTATCTTAATATTTTCTGAGTTATAATGTATAATAATTATGTGTTGTTCAACTTGTACTTTTTTTTTAAATAAACTATTAACTATTAAAGTATTATCAAACATTTTAATTATTACTGTTTTGTATGACTTGTTTGAGTACACTTCATTTCACAAGTAAAAATGTAAAAAAATCTCGAAAGAATACAGTAAACATGTTTTTGGGTTAATTATTTTAAATGGTAATTTATTTTACCTTCTATGTAAGGAAAAACATTATAATTTAAGTTAAACAACAAAAAAAATATTATATTTTACAATTGGAGAAAACAATATTTAAACAACTCTTGTTAATAGCTAATGGTTTTTTTGTCGATATAACCTAAGTGTCGTACATTCACGGGATCAGTGTCACTTGTATTCACCACTCACAGCTATGCTGATATTTTGGCCTATAGTTTTAGTTTGATGATACCAAATATTTGTGTCCAAAATTACTACAAAAAAGATAACAATATAAAAATAACAAATAACGCAATAAGGTGATATGTATTTGTCAACCCCTATTGAATTTTATGTATTTTTTAACTCTCACTGTAGGTACCTATATTTCATTCGTCTACTTAAGATACTGCTGACATGGCCGGATTCAGGGATGTGGAAGCCTCAAGGCCTATTACAAAGTTTGATTACAAACTTGTACACCTCACATTAATTCAATTGCTAAAGGTATTCATTTTTTATAATAATCAACTACTAAATTTCATGAAATGCCAATAATAAAAAACGAAGTAGACTACTAGATAACTAGATAAGAAACTATTATAAGAATTGCGTGTTTTACCGTTTAATATAAGTTCTATTGACAATAATATTTTTATACAGTTTTTCTAACATTTTTGTTAAGTAGGAGATAAAATAAAGTTATTCAAAACTTTATTTTAAAAATTTGAGCGGAAAGAAACTGTTAAATAGTGAACAAAAACAGTAAATGTTCCTCTTTTTTGAGAGCTCTCTTCCCTAAATCCCGTTTTGACTGTCGATGTCACCGATAGTCGTTCTAACAGTACAATGATTATAATTAAACTGGGGAACAATGATCGGTTTATTCGGACTTAATCAGTTGACTTCATCGATTTTATTAACTATTCAGTCATTATACACCATATTACTGGACATGTTGGATAATTATTACACATGGCCGGATAACCGAAAGATGTATTTGATCTAAGCACATTCGATAAAAACAACCTTTGGTTGGGTATACTTAGAATAATTACAGAGTTACACAGCTAAAGCTAATAATACAGCCTAAGGAGGGTCACAAAAGATTATAGACATGTAGTTTATCTCGAGAACCAGAGTCAATCTAAATGAAGTAACTATATAACGTGTATGTGCAATTTAGGTGTATTCTAAAACCATAGACAAATTTTATGCCGCAGAAAAAACTTATTTTTTTTGTTCCCCAGTGTTAGTTATCCCTTATAATATTAATAATTATATCAGTCATAATTGAGATTTGAGGTATGTTAAATTAACATCTCACATAATTGTCCGGCGTGGACGGTCACTTCAAAATGTTTTCTACAACTGAATATGCATTTGGGCGGTGACTGTAAAGTCCATTTTTTCGATCCACTAAGTTGAGTCTGCCACGAAGGATATTTAACCTTGTCTAACTAACAGAAGGAAACAAAAAAAAATATGTGCAGCTATGACACAGATTGGCAATAATATTCTACTTACGTGCATCGGAGCACCGTTTCCCGGTGTGCCTATGAATATCCAGATTTTCGAATTTGGAAAAGCTAAATTTTCTGGCAGAAAACTAGGTATGTCAATGCGTTCCTTAACAATGTCAATAGTTTTGTTATCACAAATGTTCCTATATAATACAACATGCAGTTTTATAAAATTATTGTTTATTAATATAGTAGGAAAATACACTTTTTTTTAAAAAATTATTTGCTGTTATTGAATTGAATCAACAGTCAACCGGTTCCTGAATATTTTAATTTCTTGTAGAAGTTGTATAATTTCATTTAAGTGGGTTTGAAAACGATTTCTGTTCTTTAAATCAAATACAAAGAAGAAAGGAAAATTTGGCTACTGCCATTGTAATTATTTGTAGAAAACATGATATAAATGATTGCATTAAGTATATTATATAAAATATATATAATAAAACAAATATGTATTAAGTTTTATTGATACGTCACGTATTGTTTTTTTTTTTTGATAAAATAACTAAATTACTTATTTTTTCAATTTAAAAATTATATGTCTTTACTAATAGTATCTACTCACCAACCAATGTACCATGGGGTGTATCCTGGCTTGAGAGTAGCCTGGTCTTGGTCCATATTAAGCGCATCATCCAGCGTTTTGAATTTCGTTTTGTACCGGAAAAACTGACAAGTTTTCAGCTGTTTAGCTTTGGACAGGTTTTTGAAAAACTCAAAATCAAAACCAGGCGATCTACCAAAGCTTTTGTCGTTTGTAACGAGTACCGGTCGACCGGTGTACGCGTACCTAAATCCATGGTATGTATTGTTTTAAATATTCGGTTCATTTATCTATTTATTAACTGTATTAAGCCAATTCTCTGTGATTAGTTAAGTGCGACTACAGTATTAGTACTTAAATGATGGGCAACCAAATGTGTTATTGTGGGGTGTATATGTCACACAAAATAAAAAGAGACAGAAATCTCAGCACAGCTGTTATTTCTTATTTTTTCAGTTGCTTTAACTCACTTGTTTAGAAACGTCTTAGTCGACAGACTGGGCACTATGTCGACGGCGTCGACTTTAGCACAAAACGAACATTCTTCCAAAAGAGACCTAGTGATGTCATTGAAGGTCTCCTTCAATGGTCCCGTATACTATTATCATGAAATAAGAACGTTAGCGTGATGCATTAATTCTGATATTATACCAATAGACGAAACATCTGGGCATTTTTTAGGTTAGACCATGTCATTTATACATTAGGGTGGTCCTTATTTTATTCAATAATGATGAGTTATGTCTACCGTTAGGTTTTTGAAGAACCAAATCCAGACATGCAAAGGAATGTGTTCTTTTTTATTCACATTAAAATTTGTACTAATTTAACTTAACTACAAAAAATAATAACAGATATTATTATACTTCTCGTGAGTGATATTGCGGTTCACAAATAAAACCCACTAAATCAGTTTGTTTTCGTAGTTATCTCAGTCCGAACCTTGTACATAAACTAACGCTGCGAATTTCTGTTCCTTCAACCCTAATTCCCTATTTCAATTGATTTCATATTCATATTCTATTATAATAAATATGGTTTATTTAGTCTCTTGACAATTGCCGGCTCATAGCCTCTCCTTGGAAATTAGAACGAATACTTAAAATAACCCGTCTAGACCTAACGAAGCTCTATGCCAAACGTGTATGTTTGGTCTACACGCTCAATAGGTACCTATTAAGTTTAGGTACCCATTTTTAATCAACAGTAAATTACGTTTCTCACCGAATCACTTAGTTGAGGTGACGTCCTGACCAGCGAAACGTGTGCCGAGGCGTAGACCAGTATTTTCCACATAATTAATAATGGTTATTATGTATTATATGTATTTGTAAATATACATATATTTATATATTTTACAAGTATAACAAAAATGTCAAGAATTTTCTATACTAATCCGATTCGGAAGCCTATCAGTTCAATTTATAGGTGGCCAACGATAAGAAGTTATTATAGGCTTTACGACTTTTTGATAATAAACAATAAAGTAACTACCTAGGGCACGTAGGGCATTTTTTCATGAGCCACGCATGTTTTTTTTTGTTGTAGATTGGGTAAACATTGTTTGTTGGAGTCACTATTACGTAGGTACTCTACCTACCTATTATGTTTAAAGAACTATACCTAATTTAATTAAAAAATGCATATTACTATTAACTTTATCTTAAATGCACGGACCCGATGGTTGAGTTTGCTATAAAAAATTATGACCAAATAAAATTTTAAAAATTAATTGAAATTCAATCTACTAGGCTGACCTAAAAAAACTGGTAGAAAATACGGAATATATATTCATAACTATATTATAGAACAATATTAATAGCTTTACTAGCCACCACCTGTCGATTTCGGTTCTTTCACTTAAAAACTATTTAACGCGAACTTTTAAATTGAAGCAATTAACTCGACATATATATTTATCGATTGACCAATTTATCCACATTGTTTTTAATTATTCTTGGGCCAACTATAAATAAAAAAAGAGTGTTCCATATCCTAACAGTCTTTAAACAGCATACGATTGAATAGGTACAGAGGTATAAAGAATAAAGATAATGGGGAAAGCGTTGTTATACATCGTGGTACTCGTTTTGCCGATTATGGCGGATTCTGTTTTTCGATTTCCTGAAGGTCATATCCCGCTCCGCCATTTTCGTTTACCAAGAGATCCACCACCTACGAAGCTTGAGAATGTGAGAAAATCAAAAATAGTTGTACAATAGTTTCATAAAATGTATTAATCATATTTTGTTTGTTTAATATTTCTACAAGGGGTTATCTATATTCATCTGAAATATGAACGACGGCTATGGCTTAAAACAAGACCGGCCAATACCGCCGTTGTTGAATTCGAACGATAATGTCTCCTGTCCATGTTACAGTAAGATCGGTTATTGATTTATATCTTATAAATATTCCATAAAATAACCCGTCAAAGTTGAAACTTGAAAATTCGGAATAATTTCCTAAGTGATCGAGAAAATGTGCTACTGTTCAGCACAGAAAAATATTCATAAATACCTAACAAATATTGACAGCAAAATACACATAACAACTTTATTTGAATTGTAGGTTGTGGAGCCCTAGGTTACAAGGACAAAATATACGGACGGATAGAAGTGCCTTATGCACATAAATATCCTTGGATTGGCTCGCTAACATATAAGAATGTATCGTACTGCGGCGCTACTTTGATCAATGACAAATATGTATTAACTGCAGCGCATTGTGTTAATGAGTAAGTAGTTTGTACGATATTTTAGTTGCTTGGACGATTAAGACATAGTTTTGATAATGTTTGACGAATCTGAGGTATATTTAACGACGAAATCAACAAGTGCCCGAAAGGGAATACTGTAATATTACACTGATTGAGTATTGTGTATTATGATTTCAGAACTCTAAGTGAACAGTTTTTTTATTTACTTATTACTTTGCCGGTTTGAATGTATTATAATTTATAAATGAACATCTATATCTGACAAACGGTCTTGCTTTCAGTATAGCAATTAGTAAGACATATAAATATTTCAAAGTTCGATTGTTTGAGCACGATCGTAACGCACCAAACTACCACATGGATTTCAACGTGAAGAAAGTAATTGTACACTATGGTTATAAAGCAAAATCGCACGATAATGATATTGCTCTTATTCAACTGGAAACCAATGGTATACCGATGAATCCCGATCTCCATTCAGTTTGCATGCCTACCCAAGGTATAATATCCATGTTGACTGATCTACTTAACCTTAAAATATTCGCAATATTTACATGCAGAAAAGATGCCTCACAAATATATCTCAGTGGGCTCAAAATGGGATTATTATAAATAAACATAAAATCAATAGTGAATTATAAGTGGATTAGGCCTAAAGAGGTCCAATGTCGTGTTGCTTGGTTTATCTCCCAGACTTTTTTAAAAAAGACTTAGTAGCTTACCTTCTCTATTTACTATCTCATGGAAAATACAATCAGTCCCTCTAAATTTTTTAGGGTAAAAAAGTCCTGTACGGTTACTAGGAGCAACGTGAGGATATCTAAAATAAAAACACAAATTCAAATATTGGTGTATTTTATATGACTAATCGTTAACCCAACCTAACTTAATCTTCCATTTTTTTTCACTTAATCCTTAAGTATTTATCGACCCAAAAAAGATTTATCATGAACTTTTCGAAAAATGTATGACTAGTTTAAAAATAAAGATTATATACTTAAAAATAAAAAATATTGCATAAAAAATGCATTTTTGCTTCTCTAATTTAATTTATAAGAACTGCAAACCTTTTTATTTGACGTGCTATTCGATAATTGGTTCGAATGATGCTTTATTTAATCCTTCACATTGGTAATGAAAACCATTGACACAATCTGAACTAAGTTTGTCTTGATTAATTTATATTTTCATTACACTTAGACGTTTTCCACTTAAGTTGAGATTATTTGATTTGACTAGAGACACAGCGCGGAACATAACCGTACGCAGCTGTGTACTGATGTATGAATAATAATTTTTTAACTATGTATATTAATAAAATTTCAAACCTTTATAGGAGTCAGTTACGCCAAACAAACAGGTGTAGTCGCCGGATGGGGATTTATGACGCTAAAGCCCAGGGTCTTAAAAGAAACTGTAGTTTCTATATTGAGCAATAAACAGTGTAACGCCATACCGACCTATACCGATTTAATCACCAAAAACATGATTTGTGTCGACGAACAGGTACATAACGGGGAAGTCGTGTGCAGAGTAAGTATTGTGCCTGATTTGTATGTAAGACATAGGACAGTTAAAAAAATGCTTGTGATCAATGATTGGGCGTAGACATTTAATGTTGATAGAATTCGTATAATTGTTGTTTGCAGGATGATAGTGGCAGTTCTTTGGTCATTAATGACGGTGAAACTCTTCGCATTGTCGGTAAGGGTGTATTAGTAACGTTGTAATTATTGATCTTGTTCTTTAGCTTAAATCACTATTCACTGTACATGCCTAACGAAATATTATTGTCATTCGTATCTTATTACCCTTCTGATTGTTTGTATTGCATCTTTAGGTATCACAACTTTCGGCCTCGGATGTCATCGTTCTCCAACAGTCTTCACTAGAGTGTCCAAATACTTGGATTGGATAAAAGTAAATACACCGGATGCTTGCGCGTGTGACGAAGCTAATACGGGAAACAAGGCTTGATGTTAATCACTCCTGTAGTTATTGATATATTCGAGTTACACATTTATTTATAATTGCGCATCAAAGTTAAATAAAATAATTAAGTTTAAAATAAATAAATACCATTAATTAAAATAACTTATGGGCAGCTTTTTATTTTTCTAATTTAATTAAAACAAAACGATATACCCATTTTGGGATTAGGGTATTTTTAAATATTTATACTGTCGATAATAAGATTTGTATAAATATTCTATATAATACATTTTATAAAAAAGATAATTGTGTGTAATTGTATTTTTTGATTTTTAATTTGCATTAATTGAAAGAAAGTTTAACATATCATAGTGAATCCGATTCTTTTTAGCTCCACATCAAAGCTAAAATAAAAATGTATAAATATTTTTTTATTACAAATAGAACTGTGATAAAAAATAAGAAAGAGGCTGAACCTCAGACATTCGGAATATCCGGATAATTCAATCACTTTAATAAAATCACTAAAATTTAAATTTTTGAAAGATATTTTCATAAGAAAATATCGCACAAAGCACACTTGAAATTTAGAATTTTGTCTCTAATTCAGAATGTAGTTAAACATATGAAATTTGATTATTTTGTAATTTTCAACAATTTTAGAATTCTTGTTTTTTGTGTATTGCCTAAAAGTTAATTATTAACCTACCCGCCCCCCTAGACTTAGTTAATGTATTAAATATGTAAAGTTTTACATTGTAGATATGGAGTACAAAAAATGTATCATACATTTTTGTAAGATAAAAATCAGATTAATAATTTATTTCCTTGTAATTTACATGTTATATTTATTATTAGATAACTTGTAAACTAAAATCTAAAAATTGAGGACTAGCTAATGAGCTAGCACTAGTTTAATGAAACTAGTGCTGGATAATATATATTAAACCTTGTACTTACAATATTCGTAACAGTTAATTTATTCGTTAAAAAATATCAAAATTACTTAGCAAGTGGAATTATACTGGAACATAAATTATATTATAATTTATGTTAGCTGATCGACTAAAGTATCAAAGTAGATTATGTATTTAAAAAATCGGACTTAAACGTGTAAAAAAAAAGAAAGATAAATTGTCAAGTGAAGTTTCGACTATTCTTTGTGAGGGGGTATTGAAAAATGTATAAGATCGGGTATGGTATATTTTCCATGTATTTCAAGAGGTTTATCAAAAAGTTAAGAAATTACGGTACTACTATAACTGCGTCAAAAAGTGATAACTAAATTAAAATCTTTATTAGATAGCACCAAAGATAAAATATGAAAAATGACGATTTTATAATCATGAAGAAAGATAGGCCCTAACAAAAAAACCACATCAATGTAAAAACATTATCTTCTTAGCTCCGTATCGAAGCTAAAGAGTTGATAAATGTTAGTATTCTCATACATCATAGCTCATAAAATGAATCTTTTAGCTAGAAAATGGATATCTCAATTTCTTTTTTATACATTTATATTTTTTCCACTTAGCTGTTCAATTAGATTACATATTATACAAATAAATTAAAATATGCTAACTATAATGTAATTAAAGCATGACTATGTAGGGTTATATCTACAACAACTGACGATTTTTTAGTCAACTATTTAATCATTATAAATTACTGTTAAAATACATTAAAAATTAAAATGACAAAAGCAAGTACCTTACATTAATGATGTAGAAAAGTGACCAAATATAGGTTAGACATAAACAATAAGGTTGTTAAAACAAATAACTCCAAGTTAAGTTAAGTTAACATAAAGAATTATTTATTATTTGTACAATCTAAAAAAACTGCTACTACATCAAATCCAAATAACAACAGATCCCAATGCTATTCCATATTATTCCGCTATGTAAGATAATGGATATTTTTTTATTTTTTTAAATTTATTTTACAAAAACAATCTATACAAATATGTATGTACAATAAGTTTTTTTTTTATCTAAATTATAACAGGGCATGTATATCTTGAAAAGGAAGCTACCCATTGGTAACACCTCTAAATCGATATTTATGCAAGTATACATAAAATAATAGCATATTATTATCACAATAAAAATAAAAAATAATATAGCATCGTCATTGCAAAATATGGTTAGATAGATTATACGTGTTGTGTACTAATTAAAACAATATTTATCGATTTCGTTTTATTACAATACCATTATAATTTTGAATATTTCCGAAGTAATAATGGTTTCTACTAAAGGTAGCCTTAGCTACCGTAGGCTAAACTAGGCAATTATTACCGTAGGCTAAACCAGATATATACCGTAGGTTCCGTAGTTATCTGATATAACTCTCATTAGACAAAAAATATGACAAATTACTAAGTTACACAGACGCATGTGAAGTTGGCACACCCAAGTAGTCAAATCAAACTTGCAACTATGCCCATCACGTGGCCCATCCAAGTTGTCTTAGAGATCCCAAAATGGTGCCAAATTAATCGCTATAATTTGCAAGTAAGCCCCCTTTCCCCCAATAGTCTTTTTTTCTGTCATGAAGTTATTCCACCCAATTTGTTCCAGCGTCCTCAAACAAGTATCAAATTAATTGTTATAATTTATATCTCATTCCAATAATTTTCTAATTTATAGTAAAGGATTTAGAATGCTTTAAAATGCAACAATCTCATTCGTGTTCCGACCAATTGTTGGACCGACCGACAAACTTAAGAAAATTGTTTACAATTAATTTTCAAAGTTCAATGAATGTACTATAACACTTAGTTCTTTATTTCGATAAATAATTAACTATGATATTTTTTAATTACTCTTTAGTTTATGTTTTATACGTAATTTAAAAACAAATAATAGACTGAGATACTAACTTCAAATAAAAAATAATTACATAATTTATTAAAATTATGTCGGACGACGGACGGTCCTACAACAAAATCATTGTTATAGCAATATTGTGTTCAACATTGTATTTTTATTAGTGAGATAGAAACGACTAGGGTTTATTGGTCGTTTATACATATTTGTTGCCGTTGTTACATAAATAAACTAATCATTAAAAAACATTATGGTAAAAATATTTTTCAGATACCAATTGAAAGTTGATTGATTCTCACATAGCAGCCTACAAATTTACTACAGTCTGTGTATTTTGCCTCTTTTTTGAGAGTTTTGAAAATCTGCTATTCTGATTGACACAACTTCTGTATGATAACCGTAATATGTCACTGCTTGCTCGCTTTTGCCGACTGGACTAGCAAACGCTACTGTATTATTATTGTATGTAAGCTGCACACCGAATCGGGGAAATCCATTAAGCTAAAAAGGGGAACGCCACCCTTAACGGTACGACGTTTAAAATACCAGGAGCACATAAGATCTTGCCGTCGAGTCGTCAAAGGCTCACCGGTATTCCAAATATTTTTAACTCTTTTCGATGCAGCTTTAACAATTTTGAAAATCACTTATAAGTTGTACGTTGAACCATAATATAATAAACAGTATATATAAACTTGTACTATACATATATAAATAAAATAATTATGTATTTATGAAAGTAGAATAGCCATTTTAACGTGGGTTTTTGCAACAAAAAAAATTAAAAATAAATAATTCTTGAAAAATTTGTAATCCTTTTGGATGTTTTTTTATTTTATTTTGAGGGGCGAGGGATGAACTTTTTTAAATTGTTGACTCTGTAAACTACGTAAAATGTTTTACAATCATGTGGGTTTTTTTGTGTTTGTGTACACTGTAACTTTTTCAAAACTAGACCAATTCCTTCGAGTAGCAACTCTATAAATCGCATATTTTATCTAGTTGGTACTTTGGGTGGTTATATTTTAAGTTATTAAAGTGTTTAAAAATTAGAATCAAAGCGTTTATTTGAAAGGATTTTCTATGTATTAAAGTGCATGCTCTTAAACCTAATTTAGTTTTAAAAACTAATGTTGATTGGTTTTATTTATTCATTATTGGCTATTGAAGTCTCTCGTTGCGAATCAACATTATATTTATTAGCTCAATATGTTTGTTTTTTTAGTTTACAATTTGTTTAAAATTAATTTGTCATAACTTTCGTTTTATGTCGAAACTTTATTATTTTTCAGACAGAAACTAATTAGAAACATACAATAAAATGCCGAACAGAGTAGCACGTGTAAGTTAAAGCGATAAAACGGCATTGTATATTTAGTAGAATATTTACATATAAGTACAATAATACATTTTTTTAAAATAGTGTTCAAAAAACACCTCACACGTTATAAGGCTTGTATAGTAGCTGACTAGATAAATTTAAGTGTATATTTTTATTACAACAAATCTTATCAGTTGTAGTCATTAAATAATATATTATAACTGTTTGTATTAAGTTATATTTTTTTCTGATGTAATGAGTTTAGCGTTTATATAATTTTAATTTCTGTTCAATTAATATTGAAATCGTACTTAAAAGTTAGTTTATACTATTAAGAAATTTAATAAAAACTAAATGATTATTTCAATAATATTCCTATGAATAATAATTAGAGCTTAATTTGGATTAAAATAGAAATTACCAAATTAAAGTTGAGTTAATTGTATTTTTATATGCAGAATGTGCTCTTGAATCCAAAGCTCAGGTTCAAAACTGCTATACTTTCTATGATTCATAATTTGGATTGGTTAGCGGATGAAACACTAAGTGAAACTCCTATTGATTTTATGGAAATCATAACCGAAAGAGCACTGGATTCGTCACCCGTGCTAACGATATTTGTAAGCCAAAATAAATTGTGTACTTGGGCAATAATTTTGATACTTGAAAGATGTAATAGCTTTTGTGTCTCGACTGTGATATTTAGAGTAAATTAAATGAGATGAGTGTTGAGCATTAAATAAGCGAGATGAATTATAGATTGATCAAATTTAGCACTTATCCTGATTATTGAGTTAAGTAGTTATTCATTTTAATTTTAGCACAAATTGACAATGGTCAGGCCCCGAGAGCTGAGAACCAAGTTCGAAATTGAATCAATCATACGAGTTCTCGGTGCTGGTTTCAAGTTTTTTAAACTATGTCCACTTGTAAGTATCCCCGCCAGAGTGCTTGTATGGACCATGCTGCCAATACATATCTGACCAACGACGTTTCATTACATTTATTATTAATATGCCAATTACCTGTGTCAATGATAGGAAAGAAACATTGCCGTAATGACGACGGCAACGTACAAATGTTTTGGACCGGACAGAATCATCTTGAAACAAGATCGCCAACCTTGGAACATGTATTACATAGTAAAGGGAGTAGTGTCCTTGTGCAAGGATGTTTATGATCCGATTTTAAAGAAAACCGAATCTGTTGAACAATGCAAGTTGACCGACGGCGAGACGTTTGGAGAAAGCGCAGTGATGTTTAACAGACCAATGAAGACCTCCGTTAAATCCTTAAGTAATTATTTATCAGTACTTTCAATGTTTACCCTAACATTAAGAATATTAATTATTTAAGTAAATACTAAATTACAGTTAACAAACGGGCCTAAAATCTTCATTGATAACGTTATAGTTATAACGAAAAACGAAAAAATAAGAATAGGAATAACCCAAACCAGCCGTATGAGTAAACATAATATACATGTTATACATTATATTAAATTTATAAAAAAGAAGGTCAACATAACAAAAACAAATTATAACAATATTAGGAATCAACATTTTATAAAATATGTTTTACTTTATGGCAATTTTGTCAATAACATGCTGTACAAAAAAAAGAGTTTAAGGTATAACGTTTATAGTATTTATACAAACAAATTAAATTACAGTTTTTAAAAATGAATTACGTTGCGCCATTAAGTATATGGGAAAGGAATACTAAACGGTTTGTGTTATTGTGTTTTTTTATAAGTCCTGGCCATAACTTCTAAATAGTGTAGTAAGTCTGCGAAAATGATTATTGTTCATATACTCGTTTGTGAAACCTATAAGAGTAAAACCTATTAAGAAATAAAGAAAATAGAAATATTTATCAATTATATGTTCAATGAATCAATAAAATTCACTCTAATTATATTATCAGTAAACTTTTTATAACATAAAAACAGTAATATCTAGATTCTACAATCTAGAATATATATGTAGATATATATACTACTATATGTGCTAGCTGCCCGTGTATCCGGCTTCGCACGGGTTAAGAAACACAATTGAAACATTGTGAAAACTCACAAATTATACAAATTATTAGTTTATATTATTATTATTGTTATTATATTTTATTATCAAACTCCAACTCAATTACCATCTCCATCCTCATCCCCAACTCCATCCCGATCCCCATGGAAAAAATGGTGCACGTGTTAATGCCCGACTGGTTTGCTGACTCTCTCAAATTTACTTTAATTTTAAAGATTTTTAATATATAACTATTTTTGGTAATAAAAACAAATTTGATACATATAATTTAGTTAGTTAATTACCGGTATTCTTTGCAAATTGCAATAGCTACGGTGGAATTGATATGCATATCTCGGGAAGATTTCGTGGAGACTCTCAAGGACAACATGCTGCTGGTATGGGAGAAGAACGCCGAAGCCATTAAAAACTCATGGTTCTTTAACTACTTGAATTTGGACCAGTTGAACAAGGCCAGCACTGTTTCGTTCATCAAAACGTACCAACCGGACGAACACGTCGTCGGTAAGACGTTTCCTAACAGCACAAGGTCTCCATAAAAATTCCCATGGATTCCAGGGAATACCTGAGAGCTTCCGTAGAGACAGGCAATTTAATGGGACTAGGGAGACCTAGTTCTGTAAGGGTTGTTTATTTATACACATGATCGGAAAACGCGACGAGGGCGGTATCAAAGAATAAACACACCGTTTAACGTGCACCTTGATAGGTGTGTGTGTCTATATTACTATGTTTCTACATTGCACGTCAATGCCTAGGAGACGAGATTGGTAACGTTGATTACGGTCACTTCATGATGGGCGGCAAGGTTAATATGATAAAGCGGCTGAAAATGATCGAATCACCAATCCGATTAACGGGACAGTTCACGTACAGACTATACAACGGCAAGAGGAAACTGGAAAGTCGTCAAAAAATTATTGAAGAATTTTTGCAAATCTGCACATTCTCGGGCAGGTCGTGTTTCAACATAGGTATTAACATTAGGCCCCTTACGCCTACCCATCTCTACTCTATGTAATCATTTTTATGAGCTCTATTCTCTCTTTATACATAAATTATCAACGAGTCCTGGTGGTGTCTGGTGAATTCCAATATTTTTATCCAGCCTAGGAAAAAATATGACTTAAATTGACTTCATGTATCATCGACACCTGACTGGTGGCTAACAGGAATCTTCACTAAAAGACTAAGTTCACGAAAGAAATCCTTTCTCCGATGTTAACGGGATCCAACTAAAAGGCTAGTACTGTGTAGGAATCTTTTCTTAGATACTAAAAGAATTTCAACAGAATCCTGATTTTGTGTAAGACTCCTCAAAGTAAATCCTTCTTTGGATACTAGTGAGAAGTCACTACTGGAACCCCGATGCTATTAAAATATATGGACATTCAATTCATTCGACACAATCTTTAGAATTCATTCAAGAGTTTTCCATGTTTTATTTCCTTTAACTCTACAAACTCATATAATAGAATTGCGTTTTTCTTTTTAGATAACCTTATTTTAAATACCATAGAAAATATCTAAACCCGTTATTTTTATACAAATGAATAAATGAGGAAAATATTGTCCTCAGTTGTTACAAAATATTAGTATTAAAACCAATATTAAGAATAAACGAAGTATAGTTACTTTTGTAAAAAAAATACATATATCAATCTTCAATTCTAATTTTAATGGTTAATGGAAACAATTTTTCAGCTCACTTACATTTTTTTTCTCGTAACCTTTTAGATATAAATATTTTTGTAAATCTAGATATTAATTAGTTGAATATTGTTTTTAGTTTTCTTTTATTTATTTTTTTGTTATTAATACTTAAACAGCTTTAACAGTTGTTTTTTACTCATTATTTAGTTCTTACGACATGTTATTTTATTTATTTAACTGTTGATTGTCACTGTATTTGTTTTTAATAGAAGCAACTTCTATACACAAATAAATATACTTTCCTTTTTTTCTATGTTTTGTTCTACTATAATTGTTTACAGTACATTCGTTCATTATTTGACTAGGCGAGAGCATAAAAAATAAGGATTTCATGGTGGACAAATATTCTGTGGCGACATGTCTTTGTGTGCCAAAACGGTTTATGTACGAAACCGAAAGATTAAAATGCTGGAAGAGAACTCAGATTGAACTAGAGAACATTATTCCCACGACGATTCAGGTGTTTCAGTCGTACATGGCTAGCAAGATCATTCAAACAAAAAAGTGTCTTACCAGTGAAGAAGTATCTGAGTTGCTAAGATCTTTTAATGATTGATAAAAAATCGTTATTTGTTTTGGTAAAATCATATTACTTAGTTTGTCCGTTGGTTAGACGTGGAAAATGTACAATGAGTATCCGTAAAATTTAGACTAAATAACTATTAACCAAAAAGCGTGATATCAAATCTACACCATTTGATTAAATTGACCATTCATTAAATTGTTGTAGTATATTTCCATTAACGGAAATTATTTAAATCCGATTAAATGCATCAAAAAAGTAAATTAATTTGAGTCAAAAACAGTAATATAAATATTAAATAGTATTTAAGAGGGCAGCCAATAAAATAACTCGAGGTTTTACTTATATAAGCAACAACAATATTGAGTAGATTGCTATAGTTGGATTACACCATGTTTTGAATTGCGACGGAAGTTATGACATAAAACATAATATTATATAGCATATTATGATACTTTCAAAAAAATCATAATTTATACCACCTATTTAATTATTTAATTATTTAATATAAATACAACAATATTAATGGTGGTTACGAATAGCGAAGATATGGTCAAAGTGTTTAATTACTAAACAATGATAAAGAAAAAATCTAGGAATAATATTATAATAGCATGTTATACAAAATGACACATTTTAAAATTAATTATAACTCAAGAGAACGTTTTACCCTCAGTTTTTTTTTTTGAGCAGAAAATATTTTTAATTCATTGTTGCATTAAATTTTAGGAAAGGAACTACATTTAAGTTCAATCGATTTTTTAAATTTGAAATTCCAGTAGACATGCTGTATTTATATCGGTTGTTTTTCCGTTGTTTGCATAAACATCACTAGTGAACAATAATACCTTTTTATATAACTAATCGTTTAGTTGTGTAAGATAGAAATCTTCGAAACAAATAATCTACACATGGAGGATCAAAAGTAAAAATGCCATAACACGTTGGTTTAAAATGTACTCTAAAAAAGTTTGTTGAAAACTAGTACAAAAACATGTTCTCATTTTGACACTCTCTCTTTTTCAGGACAAGCCGTACACTGTCTTTATACAATTTTCAGTAACAAATTTCGTGTACACTTCGGGACATGACTTCGTCATCGCTCTCGTATTGCTTGTAAAATCCTAAAATAATATTCTTCTAGATACAAGGTCTCTCTACTTGACGGTCTATGGAATATCTCACGTTGTTTTCATTCGTTCCACATTATCAGAGTATTTATGGTAAGAAGTCCATTCTTTAAAATGTCTAATGTAAGTTGAGTCTGATACCGAACGAAAATAATTTTACTTTTGATCACAAAAATTAAAGTTAAAACATTATTTATAAACGGTTTCAATAATTATTGTATAAATCATCGACAGATCTTACTTTAAGTGAATGTACCTACTTAAATATTAAATGAAATATAGATCAATACGTTATATATTGTAGTGCGTTGAACCCTATTAAAAAATTTGAAATGTGAAGAAGTGAACTTTTTCAAAAGTTACAGTGTACACAGACACAAAAACAGCTTACATCGATGTAAAACCAATTCCATAATTGTTATAACATCAGACATCAGCCCATTTTTTTATTAGTTAAATCACAAATATAGTTTTACATTATATCAAAATTGTTAAAGCCGTTTTGAAGTTCAGTGATCGATAGATATATAATAAATATATATATACAGGGTGAACCACAAAGATTTGACAAATTAAATAACTTTTGTTCTAGTGAATATTTTTGAGATTTTTTTTTAAAAATAATTTATACTCATTTGCGCTATAAGCACCGTGGTTTTTATTGCACTTACCTGTTATACTTTTTTTAATAGTTTTTTAAAAAATTTTCAAGATAGCCATTTTATTTAAAATAAATTTTAAAAAAGAATTGGTGAAACAAATTTTTATTTTTATTTATCCGTTCAAAATTTATATTAATTTAAAAGTGAGGATGACTGGTGACGCGAGGTAGAGTGCGGTAGGTAACGCGCGCAGATAAAAATATATCTACGCGGTTTACTCTACCGCACTCCACCCTGTGTATATATATATATATATACATTATAAATACACAATTAATAGGCGCGTTTTATAATAAGATTAAACTACTTCCGCATATCAATATATCATTAAAACAAAATGACAGCCACTGATTATCACATTATTGTCTTTATCATTGCTATTAGAAATGTTTTATTAAAATTGAAATAGCTACGAGTTACCTTAAATTTATTGTTTTAAGTATTCTAGTAAACCTACTTATTTTCAAATCATGTTATACCTACCTCCAAAGCCTTAAATCGAGTTTCGTTAAAACGCCTCACTCTACAAAACGATTTTGAAAATGGAAAGATAAAAAGATTGATTTATTAAAAATTGTTCATTTTCAAAGTCACATTATGGCCTTTCTTTTAATCCTTCAACAAATTCGGGTAAAGCAATTTAAAGTTTTAACGATAACATTAATGATTTCCGTCTAAAGTTAATATTCGATAAATAAACGGACATTAGTCGTTTTTTATTACATTTTTTCCCATCGACGTGTAGTTCCGGTGTGACACATGTTTAAATTACCTACCGTTTGATAATGTTATAAATATAGCCGAGATCTTATCTATTGGTCATTTTAATGCTGTAGGCACCTATTTCTTTCCAATACTGTTCAAGATTTCAACATCTAAACGTTTCACTCTTTTATTACAACTCGAAAATGTCTTTCGCAAATCTAATTTGCTTCGGTTTTTTGACCGCTTTGATCGTCCTATTTACGTTTTCAAAAGTATATTCAATAAATATTAATAATTAAAAAAAATAAACTACGTATGACAATTATTTGTTTTTTAAACAGGCTCAGATCAGTCTTCAACCCGTTCAGCACTTCCCTCGTTATACCAAATTTGAAGCGTCGATAAACAACTCTTACGGAGAAGTGTTGGAATCTTCTTACAGACAGTTCGGGATGAATGGAAGACAAGCACTTAATTTACACATGGTTTACTACAAAAGACAGACAGCGAGCCGTGTAAGTAAAAATAAGCTATAATCCTTAGCCACGCTTATATTATAATTATGTATAAGGATCTAGAAACAAAACGCAAAATAAATTCTTAATTCACATTCTTACTTCAAAATATTACGTTTAGTCCGATTCTACCCAACCCGGATGGATCTAGCCCAATAAATAAGAAATACAACTGGCTGGATTGACCTGGAATGAGTAGAACTAGGCTAAAATTATTTTTTGAAGCATTACCAAATAGATTTAGGTAATATTTTTTTGGCAAGCATCTTAAATCTGTATATTTTTGCCTTTTTTTATCCATTGGATAGGCAGAGACGTATTTAAGGGGAGCTTGGGCCCCGGGCGGTAAATTTTGAAGAGCATTTTGATATAATACGGTAGGTCATTTGCGTGATAAAAAAAAGTAATGATACTAATAAATTTATTATTGTGGTTTTCATTTGTCACGAAACATGCATTGAAAATACCAGGACATAGTAAAGTATATTGTAGTTTGAGAATTAAGATACACAGATTATGGCCGCCCAAAAATATTTCGTAGACATGTTTAAACGGTCGTGCCAACTGCCAGTAATAATAATCTTAGTTCGTAACGTTTATGTACTCGTAATCTATTATCTATGTTCGTAATCACAAACAAAAAAGATTTGTATCCATATGTAGAAATTGAGTTACGAATTTTTGTTTCTTGTCCTATATCTAACTGTTCTGCTAAGAGGTCTTTTCACTCTTAAAAAGGGTCAAGTCCTATTTGAGATCAAGTACTACAGACGAAAGGCTAAATTATTTGGCTGTTTTAACTATAAAGTCAGATTTAACAAAGAAATTAGATTATGATGATATCATTGATACGCTCGGCGTAAATTCTAATGCTTTTGCTCGCCTCTTAATGGCGTTTTTTATTGAAAAAGTTCGGCGTAAACATTTTTAATTTTAACGTATTTATTATTCTTATACATATGGGGAATTTTATACATTAAGGGATTTTTTTTAAATGTTGTCACTTAACCTATTACATTTAGGGTTTTTGTATAATTAATGATAAATATAGTGAAATGACCCCTACATTTGACCCTGTGTAGTGCGACCCGGATGTCCGAGTCCCAATATGATTATAGGATATTGTATTGTCATCCAAGATGAGTGTCTGTGCCAAGTTTCAGTCCTATACGACATCTAGAAGTGGGTTAAATTAATTTTTCAAGATTTGAAAAATACTCGTGCAAACGTACGTACGTGTCAGTGAGCTAAAGAAAAGTATGTAAAAAAAAAAATAGTAAAAAGTAAAAAATACTTTTATTACAAGAACAATTTACCAATCAATTGTAGCATATTTTATTTAAAATTTCAATTACTTTAAAAACAACCGAAAATTAATTTTTGACTAAAAAGAAAAGCGTGGACCCTATTCAACAAAGTCTAAATTTATTGAGTTAAGTATTAAGAAATGTATGTGTCACACACTAATATTAAACCAAATATAAATTACAAAAAAACTTACAATAAAAAACATTATCTGATAAGTTCATGAGGGACTTTGTTGCATAGGGCCCATGCTTTTCATTTTAGTCAAAAATTAATTTTCGGTTTTTTTAAAAGTAATTGAAATTTTAAATAAAATATGCTACAATTGATTGGTAAATTGTTCTTGTAATAAAATTATTTTTTACTTTTTACTATTTTTTTTTTTAGAAAGCATGTTTTTAAAAAAGTTTTTTTTAAGTATACCTAATATACCTTTCAGATTATGAGTGTAGCGAAGAATGCATTGGTTTCATTATCATGTTTTTTTTTTTTACAAATATACCTATTGATGAAGAAATTTAGGCTGGGAAAGGGGAGTTTTTTTTTCTTACCTGAGGCGCAAAATTCCTAAATACGTCTCTGTGGATAGGACTGGGTGAAAATAAGACTTGCATTACAGAATATACATATTTAAGACGACGTTATATACCCAATGTTCTAGCGTTAAAACATACCTATCAAAATTGTATATGACATCGTCTTCGAAATGTTGTTAC